GAGGGAGGCGGAGACACGGGTGGAGACAGAGACACGGGTGGGGACAGAGGTGGAGACAGAGACACGGGTGGGGACAGAGGTGGAGACAGAGACTGACTAATTGTGAATAAACCTCTGTTAACTAGAGTTAACTAGTTCCAGTTCTGGATCCTGTTTCTTGTTCCTGTTCTTCACTTCCATCATGCAGAGCAGAACTGATGTTTCCACAACACCAACCACAGATGGTAGCAGTGTAGTATCAATGTAGTACAACAGAGTACATCCCGTGTACCTGCACAGATAACCAGTCAGCAGAACTAGTTGGACGACACACACACACCACGCTCTCTCTCTCTCTGTGTGTCACAGATGTATTCTGGGTATTGACTTCCTGCAGCCACCAAAACTTCATTTGAATAATGAAAAGCTGCTGGAGCCGCTGTGGGAAGAGGAGTGGAGTGAAGTTGGAGGTGGAGCAGCAGACCAGGAGTCAATCCAACAACCTCTTCAGGGGAAACTGTGGCGTTGACTCTACAGGGCTGGTTAACAGTTTTGTTGGACGGTCTGTGTCTCCTGCTGCTGCTGAAGGACATGTCAATAAGACTGCAGAGATTTGACCTTTGACCTGAGGACAGGACAGAGGAAGCTGAGACGTCGGTTCTTTGGATGTGTCAGTGACCACAGACACGGCTGCTGCTATTGGCTGTTGTGAGTCCACGACATAAAAATGACAGCGTGAATAAAAACATAACTCAGTCAATAAGTACTAAGACTCAAGTCATGTCACATGTTCTGGTCAGAAACAACTTTTCCTCCGTTATTCTTCCATTTTGATAATTCCCACTCCAACTTTCCGGCTGACGATTTAGGAGCGTTCGGCTGAGTTGACTTTTTTTTTTCACATGAACCAGAGCTGGAGCCAGGCGAGACAACGGGGGGCTGTCTGAGGACAAAGCCTACAGATGGAGTACATTAATTCCTGCTCTGTGGCTTCCTAATCCACATGGCAGGAGGCCAAGCAAGGCAGCAGGAGGATCGCACCAGCAGCCATATGGAAACACAGTGCCCGGCTATTAGAGCTCAGCTCTTTACCTTTTTAAAAAAAAATCTAATTTGTTCAGACCCTCTTCATCAGTCCTCAGAATATCTGTGATGGAATGAAAAAAAAGAGTCCACTGACGGCTGTCTTCACACGGACCAAATGAAAATAAATAAATATATGGATTAATCAAAAAAAGTAAAGACAGAAAATGATTTTAGAGAGATAACGAACCTGAAGTTAATGAGTAAAATGTGAAACAAATATTATATTTGAGTGGGACGGTGATGACGAGATCAAATGGTGATACAGAGTTTTTATACTTAATAAATAAATTTTCCCAAAAACCTCATTGTATCATCGTGCCTCTAGTATCGTAATATATCGTATCGTTCCCACTGTATGGTGATATGTATCGTGTCACCAGATTCCTGCCGATACACACTCCTGGTCCACGTCTGTCCTTCTTGTCCTTTGGACAAACGTACTCTGGGACAGAATTTCTCTCTGAATCTTCACTTCCTGTTTCTGTGCAGACTTTGAGAATTGGATCGCATCAAAACGTCGGTGAAGCTGGACGACGTCCCGTTTAGCCAGACGACCAAAGGAACAGCCAGATGCCACGCGGTCCCACCTGGTCCGCCTTATGTTAGAACACCTGGTATTTGTGTGTGTTGTTAAAGCTGTGGACTCTGGTCACGTTTGAAGAAAAGGGAAAAGAGAAGATGAAAAGAAATGATGACGTGAACTCACAGTCCTCTCTACCCTGACATTTTCATACTTCCTCGTCCACAGTAGAACATAACCACACACACACACACACTCTGTCCAACTAACAGTGAAGTTCTGGAACGATCCTCCTCAGGATGAGGAATGCCAGGAGTCTGCTTCAGAACTGACTTCCTCCCCCTGCTGGGGAGGTGGGGGTGTGGGGGGTGTGTGGGGGGGGATCATGTGGGTGAATGTCAGCCAGAGGAATCCACACTGTGGATCACTCATACATTTGCTCTGAGGCAGAAGCACTCACAAGTTCCTGAAGAACATTTGCCAGCTGTGATGGAAGAAAGGCTGTAATCATCGCACCGTCAGAGGGAAAGAATATTTTTTCCCTTTAACGATGCCAGATCAGACTCGTGTAGGCGAGAAAAAGTGGGATGAATCTCGAGTGGAACACGGAAAGGAAGGTTAGAAACCAGTCCAGAACATGTGGGTCACATCATTACCGTAGGTCACAAAGTGGTGACATATCTGACCTAGGGAGGAGTAAACTGCGTCTCCTCTCCTTTAGTAACCACATATTAGGAGTTGCACCAACGTACATTACATTTACTCATTTAGCAGTCGCAAAACTAGTCACATGAGAAATCTAACGATACTAATCTAGAGACACACTCAACTCACGATAAGATGTTATTCGCGATTTTCCAGAAACTCTGCACATCATCATTGATCTGCTCTGATTAAACTGGTCAAACTGGTCTGGTCTGGTCTGGTCGACCTGGCCTACGTAGGGACCTGAGGTGTGGGTTTAATAGTGGGTCACAACCAATGTTTTTAGGCACATACCGCCACCTACTGTACTAGAATGTGCAGTGTCATGGTATGACTAGTGACTTTTTGACAGCGCCTACTCCTGACGCCTCGGTGCACGATTTGTTTTTATTTCAACCAATGAGAATTGTCGCACATTTGTACTGATTTTTAACTGATTCATCGTTACATCCAAGTCAGGAAAGAGTTAATAATATTCATTTTTTTGTTAGGGAATAAACTGCTCACTGAGACAGACAAAGTGAAAAGTTCTCAGAGTGAAAGAACCGATGAAGCCACTGTGTGTGGATTCACCGCAGCACTGACTCAGAGAAACAACGAACATGAACTGAGGAGCTCCTCAAAGCCATTACTTTCAAGACCAATCTCCTCTCCTCCGCCCTGAAGACCCTGTGAGAGCCACCCTACCGTTCCTGTCAGTTCTCGTTCAGAACCCACCGTATTGATCCCCGCGCTGACAGCACAGTAAACCATCTGGAGGCCCCGCGGCGTCTCAGCTTCACCTCGGAAGCATCGCGATGGCTCTCAGCTCGACAGGCTGACAGGTGGGGCTTACACAGCCCCGTGTGTCCTGACGGAGAAAATAAATTGAATGTCATTTTAGCCCAGCACGGATGAGCGCCTTAATGAGCTAGACACTGAACAATCATGTTGAAAAACCAACAGGCCTCGGCCACTTGATGGCTGTAATTAAAAAAAAAACGGTAGACAACGGAGCAGCAAGTCTGTTCACTGGCCAGGGTCAGGGTTACACCCTGGCCAGTGCAGCAGTCCATTTTATGGGCCACATAGATTTAACATTGAATCATTTTATCATGTCATTTACTGAGTCAATCAAAATGTCCTCAGACAAATGTAACACATCTGTCTTTGGGGGGTGTCTTAGGTACCATGGACAGTTCCCCAATCTATCAAAAGCCCGGAGACAAATGACCACTCACACTCACATTCACCCCTGAGGTCCACTTAGTGTCTGGTGATTCTGATTCCTGGTCCAAATGTTTTAGCCTGTATAAGACAGAGAGGAAGACCATCAGTCTGGGTCGGTACTGTAAGGTCAGGTCTACAACCACTGGTCTCTAGAACTGGTTCTTTTAGTACCAGGTTTTCTTCTCATATGAGGTGGTTCCACTGCAAACAGACCAAGTTCTTATTAATGACTAATTACAAACAGATGATGAATCCACACGGTCAGGTCAGACAGCTGGGGCCCTGGAATGTTCCAGAACTGATGTTCAGTGTGTTCTGCTGCGCTCACCTGGTTGACATGGTGCAGCTCCAGCAGCTGACAGGCTGCAGCGGCACAGGGCATACAAATGAGCTGGGAGCCTGAGACCCAGCCCAGAGGCCCAGAGCAGTGGTCCAGACAGATGGGAGATGTTTGATCACTGGACGCAGACCTTTCCCCATCTGCAGAGTTGAAGAGAAAAACGCTCTGCAGTTCTGATAAAAATTGATAAATGGAATCTAACACCAGCATCTCTAATTAGAAGGTTGAACCTACACACAGTGGATCTTCTAACACAACTTCTTCTGCAGCCAAGAATAGGTGTACTACACACACACACATATACATATATGTTGTATTACATTATATATATATATATATATATTGTATTACAGTTCTGCATAGTATGTATTTCTATAGACATAATGATGTTATTAACATATGGATTCAATCAGGACGTCACTGGAAGCCGAGGGGAGAAATACGCCGATGTTTAAAACTGATATTCATCAAAACTATTACAGTGTTTGAAAACTCATTTCCTTCAAAAAAATTAAAATCCAACCAAAGTCATGCTTAGGGGTGGGTAACAATATCATTCATCATTTCAGCAATCTTCTGAATCGATTCAAGCCCATGGCCATTGGGGGGCGCTTTTTTAACTTGTACACCATATTCATTGTTGAGCTGGTGCTTTATTTTCAGATGTTTTATTGATCAAATATATCGGTTCTAGCATGGTTGTTCATATGGGCATGAAACTAAACAAATAGCATATCATATATCATTAAAATAAAGTATTACAGAATTGTCTGGTACTCTAATGGATTATTAGTGTTGTATTTAATAATGAATCGATATGACAACGCATTTAGATCAATATTGAAATAAATCGATATTAAATCAAATTGTTCCCTAAAGAATGAAAATTGAATCTAATTGTGAAAACAGTATCAAGCCGAATTAAACTTACACAATGTAAGCTGTTGTCTCCCCTAGGGGGCGTTTTCATAGTATCATTTTTGGGACTTGCCCCTGTGCCAACCACACTGACAGCATGAGCATGACTTTGGTCGGACATTAATTTTTAGAAGGAAACAAGTTTTCAAACACTGTAATAGTTTTAATAAATATCAATTTTAAACATCGTGTATTTCCTCGCTTCGGTCTTCAGTAACGTACTGCCTGAGTAAATTCACATCTTAATGACGTCATTACGTCTATAAAAAACATCCATAGTATGCAAAAATGTAACATAACGTTAGCTCCTAGCCTACTACTAGCTAGCTAATTCAACCACAGCTGCGACAAAATGTACATGAAAAGCATCAATAATAATACATTAATAGAATTACAACAATATTAAAAACAAAATTATTCATACTCACCAAAACGTCCGCTGAGTTGTACACGAAACCCCTCCTCTCTTTCCTTAAGATGAGTTCAGTGACAGTGTTCTACAGATTATCGCGTTCCAGTTCTAACGTCAAGTCCTGTTCCATCTCCGTCGATGCTAATGCTAAAAGTCTGTCCTGTCGTATTTGTTTTAATGTCGCATACGTTTTAATAGTTTTTTACTTTTAATAGAAAGTTTAATTCGCTTTAGACTCGAATGTCCGCTCGACAGAAGCAGTCAGAAGCAGAAGTTTCGCGGTCTTTGACCAACCAATCAAATCACATAAATCGCCAACGTAGGTTTGGGTAGCGGGAAAGGCGCGTTGTTGCCAGGTCAAAAACGGACTACTACTACTGACTCTGAAGGCTTTAGGGCAGATTTATTTCACCCTGGCAACAAATGAAGTTGAAATATGATTGGATAAAAAAACTCCTTAAATAACCAGCTAACTCTTATAATTTTTTTTCCGATGAAATTTCACTTAATCTGATGTCTGAATTACATTTTTGTTTTAAATCGTGACACAGAGTGAACTGTGGCAGGCGGAAAGAGTTATTATATACAATCTCATTTGACTTTTTTTTTAAAGTGACATTTTTTAGTAAGTAATCAATACAAGAACAAATTAACATGAGAGCGAAAACTTTAATTAGCAAAGGCAGCGGTTCATTATATACATATTCATCTGTATCGTGTGGTTAAAGCTTTCAGATATGACTGACAAGGTGATTAACACAACAAAACGTTTTCTTTTTCTCTTCATTCTGATTCTCCGTTCAGTCGATCGGCTACAAACTCAAACACCATCTACTGGTGACAATATTTCTTCAGATATACAAACTCCTCGTTTCAAACCCAGTCGCACTCTGATGTCACAGAACCTGTACAGAACCACGGTCGTTTCTTTCCTGAACTCAGTCAGAACACAGAGAAGGTCAGAGTTCAGCTCAGACACCGAGTGACTTCACAAACCAAAAACAAACTGGCATTAAAAAAATAAAGGATGCTTCACATTTCTAAAGTGTTTCACATCAATGACATGGACGGCAGCTGCAACAATTTTGGCTCAAAAAAAAAAGAAAAAAAAAGGGAGTTCTGGTTCCTTTCACTAATGCCCTGGACAGGAACACAGGAACTTTTTGAGGTGAGAACGAAGCACATTTGAAGGGTTGATCAGTGATGAGGATGTCAGAGGTTCAGTTAACAACTAGTTCACAAAATGAATACGTCACATGGTCAGTGGACACTTCCTGCTCCGAGGAAAGGACAAAACAAATCTGTTTTTCCACACCAGGCGCTGGAACTTCCTGAGTTAACGTGATGAATTACACAGCAACAAAACAAGCAGACTAACTAATTCATCTATGAGGCACAAACTGCTGATTTTTAAACTTTCATTAAAAACATCAGTCATAACAAAGTGGTTTTATATAAAAAAAAGTCAAATGCAAAACACAACACACAAAATAATTATAGTCTCGGCCTCCACCGCTGGTCTCCATGTCTGAAAACAAAGGTTTTTTTTTGATAAATCATCAAACATGAAGACGATGACGCATCACATTTGTCTCTCACACTCATTTGGATCCACACAGACACATTCAGTATGCATTAACGGCCTGCGGTGTTCAGCTCTTGACGGAGAAGGGGGGGGGGACGTCTTCATCAGGTCTTGTAGTCTGGAGAGTAGAGACGTGACCGGGGGCTGCTGTTGGTGTCAGTCCTGTGCATCATGTGGTTGAAGGAGTTCACTGCTGGAGAACTGAACGCTGAGGAGCAGAGAAACAACAACTGTTGTTACTGGGCCAACGAAAAAAAAAAAAAAACACAAGAGGAGTAACTGTCTTTAATACTGAAATAAAAAATATCGTGGGTTATGATTTTTTTTTTTTTTTAATCCAGATTTTGTCTGCACTGACTGGGCTACACGACCTGCTGCCTGTGTGTTGTTCACACCTGGAGCATCTGCAGCTGTGGAGCTGCTGCTGCTGATAATGAACCTTCAGTATAATTAATTAGTGTAGACATTTCTCCACCGACCCACGAGGCTCGGAGCACGTGCTAGTGTCAAGGGTTCTCCAGGAAAACTGGTCTCAGGTACTAGTCTACACAAAGACTAGTTCAAGGAGAACAAAGACTGTCCCTGAAGGTACCACCAGGTACCACGGCTCCACTAGAGTGGAACTGTATATAATGTACCTTTAAACAAGGTAACGGGGAGTATTACTATAGATCAGAAATACTTTATTGATCCTGGAGGGGAAACTGTTGTTGTAGTGCCTCTGCTCTCCTGCAGGGGCACTACAACAGAGCAGTACCTATACCAAACATTATAGCAGGGGCACTACAACAGAGCAGTACCTTTACCAAACATTATAATTATAATATCGTCACTCTAAATTACCATAACAGTCGTCTAAATCAGACTATCATATAAAAATACATACATAATTATATGAAAATATAAATAAATAAAATACATTTTATAAATGAAGGTACAGTCATAAATATATGTTTTAGTGGGAACAGAATATTGGAGCCATGACTGTGTATTTTGCAACAACATTAACCAGAACATAAAAGAGTGAATCAGTGTGAGTCAATCATCAGGCTTTAAAAATACTGACCAAATACTGCACAGATTACTTTGTAAATATTGACCGGACTATTACCCAGACTACAAACATCGTCCACGAGGGTAAAGATAATATTGACTGAAGAGTCTGACGACTCCAGGCTGGAGTGACGTCCACTGGAGTGGGATCAGTCTGGAGTGGGGGGTTCCCACTGCTACTTTAAAGTATTTACAGGACGTTTTCAGCAGCTAGATGACAGACACTAATACTACACACCTGCCTGAATGAATAACATTTTGAAACTCCTAATTTCTGTGACAGAACCCTACCTGAGACAGGAGGTGGCGTCCTCTGGATAAAAGCAGGATGATAAGTCTGTTCTTTTGGTGTAAAGACGGAGTGAAGGACTGGAGAAAATACAAAAAAAAAAATGTTAGTCTGTCAGTGACAAAAACAAACATTAGCTAAAACGTTAGCTCTGGTGTCTTTACCAGGACTTTTGTAGCTAACGTTAGCTCTGGGGTCTGTACCAGGACTGTTGTAGCAAACGTTAGCTCTGGTGTCTTTACCAGGACTTTTGTAGCTAACGTTAGCTCTAGTGTCTGTACCAGGACTCTTGTACCCAACGTTAGCTCTGGTGTCTGGACCAGGGCTGTTGTAGCTAACGTTAGCTCTAGTGTCTGTACCAGGACTGTTGCAGCTAACATTAGCTCTGGTGTCTGTCCCAGGACTGTTGTAGCTAGCGTTAGCTCTGGTGTCTGTTCACATAATAATTACACATCCTTTGTCAAAATTTGTACTTCTCTAACAAGAGCTACATGTTCAACACAGTACAGAGGGGGGGTGTGGAGGTGCAGTGGGGGGCGAGGGGGTGCACAGACCGATGATGATGATGGCTGTACCAGCCAGCAGAGCGAACAGGGTGAAGAACATCATCTGGTAGCTGTTGATGAAGCTGTGCAGGGAATGTTCACCATCCAGGCTAACAACTGGAGCAGCAGCTGCTGAGAAACAGGCAGACGACGTAACAGGCTGTCAGAACCCCATCCAAGAAGCCACAGCACAGAGACGCTACAGCACTGAGGGATAATGAGTTGTATATTACAGAGCAACTGAAACCAGGATCCTGATGGATCATTAAAAACACAGGTGAAAGAAATAAACCCGTAGCTGGTCCTGAAACCTCAGCAGAAATAATCATTTCAACAAAGACAACGTTCTCTCGTCTCTGCCAAGACAACAATCTGAGTTGAATTGACTTTGGTTTGGATTTTTAACCTCGTGTTGCAGATGCTGCGTCGGACACATGAATCAAAGTGACCGGGATGAGCAGACTCTGGCCAGAGGAGGCGCTGCTGACGGAGATGGAAGCAGAACCAGCGACCCTGGGGTCCACAGCGCTGACCGTGAACCTGGAGAAACCACTGTGCGTCTCCTCCCTCTGAACGGCAAAGTTGGTCCAAGTACACACCACCTGGTGGACACAGAGGTTCGACACAGACACAGGTGAGACCATACACACCACCTGGTGGACACAGAGGTTGGACACAGACACAGGTGAGACCTTCAGGTGTCTGCGTTAGAACTGGGCCTGTGGTAGTACCTGTGGGCCTGTGGTCTCACCTCCAGGGTGGAGAGCGTGGCTGCGGGACCGTAGACGGTGAATTCAGCTGCAGGGTGGAGGTTCGAGAGCAGCACCTCCGTCTGGTCTGAGTACAGTCCGGGCTCGATGGGCAGCCTGGCACCGACGTGTTCCCCAGAGAACGTGGTGCCCTCCAGGCCCGCCCTCACCAGCAGGTTGGTCATGGACACGCTGAGGACACGGATCTGCTGATCGGACATCGGCTGCAAGGTCATGGAGCAGGTGTAGAGGCCTGAGGGAAGGGTTTGTGGAGGAGGAGGAGGTGACAAAATGAGAGAATAAAGACAGGAAGTCATTCTCAAACAGAAAGGTTTTTAAACCACCGTTATATCAATGTTTTATTTCATCAAGGGTTGATTTAAAGCTCCATCTGCTGCACCACACACTGGGCTGCCGTTTTCATCATCCCTTCAGGAGAATGACTAATACGGTGGATGAAAGGTTTTCAACAGGGGGCTTGCAAAACCCACAGGGTCCACAGAGGTCTTTCTGAGGGTCATGAAATGTTGATTGGATTCATTTTTAATAATTCTACCCACATTATTACCACAAATGAAACCAATCTGCTCAATTTAAACTGCTGTTTACCAGGGGAGTGAGAAAATGTCGGCACCGTATCAATATTCTACAGATCACTGTATAATATATAATAACAGTCAAATATTCAAATATTCTCTGTTCCAACGTTAATAACCTGATGTTAAAATGGAACAGTATTGTGTCTTTACTATGATCAGTTTAAAAAAAACAAAAAAATAACTCAATATATTGTCACGCCTGCAGTATTGTGTCTTTACTATGATCAGTTAAATAAATAAATAAATAAAAAAACTCAATATATTGTCACGCCTGTAATATCGCAATATATCGTATCATTGCCCCTGTATCGTGAGCCGTATCTTATTGCCAGGTGACAACAAACAGTCCTACTTTTTACAGAGTGTAATATACAACGGTCAGTCAAAAAGTTCTGAGACAGACTGACCTCTCATCTCCGCTGCCGGACTACAACTGTCAAAAACAGGACTGATCTAAAGTTTTGTTGTCGAGTTGCTCCGTGGACCAGCGTCCACCGGCTCTGAACAAAACAAACCTGCAGGTGTCAGTTCAAAGCTCCAGGAGCGTCAGGCCGTGCAGGGGTTTGGACCACAGAGCACTGCGGCAGGAACAACTGTGCTGTACACAAACAGCTAATGTTGATCTAAGAAGTGTGTGAAGCCTCGAAGCACTGGAACGATCACAACACACACCACTCTGAGGCAACACAGAGTCCTCCGTTCAATATGTCACGCCGACACTTTTTATGGTCCCCACTAAATTCATTTCATGGTCACTGCAGGTATTGATTATTCCCTTTTAAACAGCACAGTGTGCAATGCATATGTATGGAGGATTAAGAGTGTACTCTGAGGTCAGCCTCAGTATTCAGTCAGTATTACCATTGGCATTATAGGAACATCATGTTTGTAAAAAATGTGTTAAAAAAGAAAAGGTTAAAAGAGAAAAGAGAATGAAGATTCTGCTCTAAAACAAAGGTGTAACAAAACTGCGATACATTGAATTATCGCGATATTTATTTCCACGATACAATACTGTATCGATGTAACGATTTGATCACCAGATTCTTATTAATATTCAGCCCTATATACAACGGTCTGATTAGAAAAGTCAGATGTTTTGTTCAGATCGTCAGCAATGGGTCACATGATTAGGACAGTGTTTTTCTGAACCTTACCGATGCTGGTGTCAAAGCTGACGTGACTTTTCAAGACATCACTGACGGCAAAGTCAACGGCGTCACTGGTGAAACTGAGGAGGCAGCTGACGGAGGTTTCTGGCTGCAGCTGTGGAATGGCTTCAGTCTGAGCAGAAGAACAGGTTCCTGTGAGGAAGAAGAAGAAAGAGACGACAAAACACAGGAGAATTAGACCTTTCTGCTGACAATGTTCACACACATACTGTTTCACAGACACCAGAGCTAACGTTAGCTACAACAGTCCTGGTACAGAGACCAGATACAGCTACTCCTTTGTCCTAATTATTTTCTTTCTTTTCTTTTCTTTTCTTTTCTTTTCTAATAATTACATGTATTAAAAGTGTGTGATTTATTAATTAAAAGACTTTTCTTCATCAGATTCATTTCTTTTTTCCAGCTCTAACCTTGACGTGACACCACTTGAACAGCAGTTGTTTGCGTCAACGTCACACAGCTCCGCTCTAACTAACTGCTGATTAGTGCTCTCTGCAGATGATTCATGTGAACTGCACTTGACAGTGATTCTAAAAACGCTGACTCGTCCACATTCGGCTCGTTGAGCATCGACTCGTTCTCGTACCGATGAGGTTGGTTCCACGTTCTCCGGTGCTGAGGAGAACCTTGGTCTCTCTGCCGTTCCTGACCGGTGCTGGTTGGGCCGTGGCTGTTGTTTTCGTAGCTGCGTCCACTATCACCTGAGGAGCACACGAGGACAGGAAGTGGCCGATAAATCTGAACTTCATTTGGAGGAGTGTGTGTGTGTGTGTTATTAACATTTGCATCCCCATCAAAATGTTCCCATTAATCACATGCTGTCAGTAAAACACACTCCTTTAACTACAGTGTGTTATTATAGTGTAACAACTGTCTCTATAAATCTACTCAACCATTAGAAACGCATTCAAGAACTCGTCTGTCAACCCTTTAAAAACACGACTCAGATCTCATTAATACTCTAGGTCGTCAGAAGGGAGCGCCGTTACACTGGCGTAACCCTGACGCTCCGTATGATGTCATCCGTACGTACGGACGTTAAACTGAAAGTAAAACCATAGGGTGAAGATGTATATATATATATATATGTACAAAGTACCCTGTTGTACCTTCATTCTGGGCTGCACCGTCTAATGGCCTGATGCGGTGTGATTCAGTGGGAGGGGGTTAGGGGGGGGGGGCAACTCTCAGGGGAGTTTGCTGCGTGGATAATTACACAAGTGTGAATTTGCCTGCTGGAGCTCATTCATCATAACCAGGACTGTGTACTTAGAGCGACTTCATCGCAGTAGTACCAGCACATACAGTACGTATACAGTACAAAAGTACATGCTGTACCTCTCTGTAGGTCCTGAGGACTCCAGGTATTTCGTAGTAAACCGTGACGCTGCCCACGTCTCTGGCCACAGCTGCACCACTGCGAGGATCCACGTGAAGAACAGCGTTGGCAGAAGAACTCCAGGTCCCAGGAACACCTGCAGACAGAGATTTATGTCCGTGACCCACGCCTTCAACGTCTGCAGAAGGAAGTCGCTTTCTGCTCCCTGTTCCTACGAAAACAGGTTCATCTGTTCTAAACACCACCGCACACATTCTTACTTTTGGCACAGTGATCCAAAACATCCACCAGGGGGTGATGGAACGAGACACCACCCTGCCCCTCCTTCTTCTTGAACCTCTCATTTTCGTAAACAGGAGACTGAGTTATCTAAAAAAAACTCACTGGTCATACCATGACACTACACACTCTAGACCAGTAGGTGGCAGTATGCTCCTAAAAAACGTTGGTTGTCAGGTCCGTACGTAGGCTGAGAGACGTTCAGGTGTTGGAACAGAACGTGGGAAGAACTTGTTCCACAGACACTAACAGTGTTCTCCAGTGGAACTCTTTCCACTTCCTGTTTTTTCTTCTTTTTCTTCTGTTGTTGTTTCATCTATGGACAGTTAACCAGGTCAACCAGACCAGTTTGACCAGTTTAATGGTTAATGGTGATGTTTCTGGAAAGAAATGTGACTCTTCTGTTATGGAACAGTGTCAGTTGTTGAGGTTCACAGACCAGTTCAGTGGATGATGGGATTTGACACAGTTTTTCTAAAATCGTGAATCGTATCGTTATCATCTCTATTTTTTTCTCTATTTTTATGTTTACAGACGTTTTATTTATTCATGGTCTGGATCCCTGACAGCTGTCCCAGATCGACCGTCTGCCTCTGGCCCTGGTCCTGGTCCTGTGGTCTGGCTGACCAGGACCAGCAGATGTTTTCTTTTAGAGTAAAAAAAACGTTGGTACCATCTGCTGTTTCTCTACATGTGCTTTAAATACACAGAGAAATGCTGCGAAGATTGATGTTAATATTTTTACAACTTACAAAAAAGAATGCCAGCAAACACAGGAGATAATGAAAGGTACAAATAAAAAGTTCCTCTCTGCCAAGAACCTGTCAGTGATTCTCCTGGACTGAAGATAAAGAAGTGAAAAAAATAAATAAATAAAATAAATAAAAAATCACTGTAGCAGCAGAGCCAAAGAAACGGCAGCAGAAAAACACAAACACCGTCGATACATCACCGCCCCGTCGTCGACAGTTTGAAAAAACACGTTCACGCTGTTCGGCTAACGAGACACGAGGACTGCACTCACCATCTGGGCTGCTCAAATGGGCCGCGAAACAAATGACGTCTCCCACCACCAGTCTCTGGGCTTCATCGGGATAAATGGCGTGTTCCACGGAGAGCGGAACGTAGTCGGCCACGCCCACGTTTTCACTGTCCCACACCGCAAGGAGGGTCAGGCCCACGTTGACTGTCCGCACCACCAGGGTGTGGTTACTGGGCCCGGCCCCGACTTGGACCAGGTCGTCTCTGCAGGACAGAACATGGAGAAGGTCAGAGGGTGAAGTTGGACTAAACCTTTAATGGACGTCATTCATCGTGACCCACTTTATTTGACTTGAATAAAACTGTAGACAAATACACACATACTTTTCCCACTTGATTTAACAAACTTTAAATTAAATTAAATTATATTAGATAATTAAATATCTATAATATAATGATTAAAACTATGATATAATTATATAATTATTATTATTATTATCATAATACAACACTGTTTGTTGTTGAAGTTCAACTTCTAACTCCTCACCAACTTTTCTGTTCTTTCTCTTCAGAGAATCTGCTGCCAGAAAATCGCTGGAAGCGAGAAAATAAATGAAAACCCAAATGGCTGCTGGGAGACCTGACAGGACGTAATCACAGGTCAGTCCTATTTGTCCCAGGACCATCAGCCCTTGATCCTAATACTTTCTCCTCAAACGCAGCGCCGGCAGCAGAAGACATTCATCCTGAACGTCACTGAGGTTCATTTGGCTCCATCACGGACTCAGGTGGAACCGCTCGCTCTGTCTGACGTCGTAAATTCATGCTGGCAACTTCATTTACAGCAGCAGCAGCAGCAGCTCCAAAACTATATGTGCAGCGCCCCCTACTGTATGTATTACAATCATCAAAACCCCTAATTACTAAATTAAAGTTGCTTAATTCTGCAATAAGTTCCTCCAACTCACAAAGAGCTACAGACAAAGATATGATTTCCTCAAGTACCACTAGGGGCCGATAACGTACTGCTAGTTGTTCACTACCCACAGTTTGAGAACCAGAATATTAAATCACTGAATATTCTTCTTTTTTTCAGAAATCCATGTTTGTATTTACATCTGCTTTTATAGAAATGTTGTCTGAGCAGAAAGGCCTGATGAAAGTTACCAAGGCAGACGAGTGCGGTGGAAGAGAGTGAACAACAGACCTGTTTGTGGAGAAGACGAGGTGAGAGCTGGAGCTGTGCAGGGCCTCTCCGGTGCTGGCGTGGAAGTGGACGACGAAGGTGAGAACGGTGCCGAGGGGGAAAGACTTCAGACGTTCTCTGGTGGACGTGTGGATCACTGGACTGGTGCTGAAGCGAAGGTAGGACACGGGCACCACCTGGGGGAGGACACAGAGGTCAGTGGCTGCTGCTGCCAAGGTCAGAAGACGAAGAAGTGAAACACGTCAAACACCACTGCCCCACTACATCGGTATCAGTTAGTATCAGAACTGGAAATAAGTGTTTGGGACAACATCGCCATATCGGGAATGGGCAAAAACTGAATATCGGACATCTGTAGAAATAAACAATACGTGGATGGAAAGTGTCTGGACACATTTGGCTTCAGAGGAACCACAACTCTCAGACACTCAGCAGTCAGAGGGTTGGGATTTGAACTCTTTTTTTTTTTTTATAAATAAATCACTGATGATTTATGCTGCTCTTTATCGTTATGTTTACAATAACGCTGCCACTGCTGCCACAGCAGAATTATCCACTGACATCTACACATCCATTCTTCTTCTCCCACAGCCTCACAGCCAATGACAGGGCTGCCTTTCACTGCATAATGATCTACAGGCAGGACGACAGGAAGTCTCTGAAAACAAATGTCCTCACCCTGGAAGGAAAATGACTGATGACGGATTGTGATTTGCTGCCGTTGCTGTTGTTTGCAACTTATAAAATGTCGCTGCGTCGCTAGCACAACAGTGACAGTGTTTTCTCCAAGCATCAAACGCAGCGGTCTCATCATTTCCCGGCAGAGACGGATGTCCTCGTCCATATATGTCTCTAGAACGCTGCTTTAAGGACAGTAAAGACGCCTCGGCCCACAAACTGACCTTCACGGCAAGGATGAGGGTTTGATTGACACCGAAGGTCTCCTGGGAGGTGACGAGCAGCGTGGAGGTGCCGGTCAGAGACCCCGACGTCAGGAAGCCCTTGGTGTCCACCTGAGCCGTGACAACCTGGTGGGGGCAGTCCAGCATTTGATAGGAGAGCGCCCCCACACCATCCCTGGGGGAAAAACACACACATCACAGCCATGATTTCAAGTTAAAGTTTAGTTTAGTTTTCTACGAGACTCAGGCATCATTGGAAAATAAACTTTTTTTCTACATTGTAAAATATATGTTCCATGTTTTTAATCCTCTTATGAAATTTGCTTTATGCAAATGTCTGTTTATTGTTATGACAACAATCAAATATAATCCAGACTCTGTGCTCTCCTCCTCTCTTTCTTTGAGAGTTATAAATGTGTCAAACAGCGCCCCTCCAAAAGTTACATGGTGAATGAGTGTCGAAAACAAGGTACTGCAGTACATTTTCCCAACGCCACGCCACTGGCCAACTTCATGGGCAATTAATGGAAACCACTGTCCCTAATTCTCTAATCTACGGTGGAGGGGTCAAATATCTAACTTCAGGTTTGACACTTTAATGTTTTAAAGTTTCAATTTTACTTTGTGTAACTCCACTGAAGTAAGAAGTGAAAACAGTGTTGTTGGTGACCTCTGCTGTGACAGAGGTCACCAAACTTTGACTGGGCTGCAGCCCACTGGTCGGGCACCTCTGTGTCTTCAGTGACTCACCTGTTGGTCTGGAGTTTGAGCAGTGAGTTTGGAGCCATCAGTAACTCTCCAGCCTCCACATCAGGGTTCAACATCAGCAGCTTGTCATAGACCTGGAATAAAACCAAACAGATGAAACTCTAATATCAGAGGGTTTTAATCATCGTCACACTCTGGTTTGAAGCCCAGACACTTTGGACTCCACTCTGACCTGCTGATATTACAGAGCTCAGCAACTTTACTGCTCAGCTGTATGAGAGTCCGCTCTGTTATGGGAGGGGGGGTTCTGTACCTGGATCTGGATCTCATCTCTGAACTCCACCAGGTTCCCCTCCAGCTGCCCAGCTCCAGGCTGTGAGACTCTCAGCACCACCTTCAGCCCCGTTCTCCCTCGGGTCTTGGCCGTCACCGTCATCCCAAAGTTGTGTTCTGACTGGAGCTCCACGTTGGCCTGAAAGAGACGCCCGACCACGGTGAGATTAAGATTCAGTCACTGACCTGTTTCACACTGAACCACCGCACACGACAAAACACAAGTCAGCAAGTGTGTGGGGTTTGAACCTCCAGGTGTCTTGACTGGACGTCCAGGATGTCTCTCTTGGTGGTGGACCAGTGGAACATCAGTGGAGGTACAGCGTTGCCAAAGGAGAAGGGTGTCTGACTGTTGGTCAGGCCCATCACAAACACAGGCATCTGGGAGAAAAACAGAGAGAGAGAGTGAGTGAATGAGTGAGAGAGAGAGAGAGAGCAGGTGATGGAGATGTTTGTCCCAGGAAACTAAGAAGATTTTAAAAATCCCACCTGTGTTCCCGTCTTCATCCTTGTGATTGGCGCTCTGATTCGAATACCCGCCAAACAAACGACCTCCACTTCCACCTGATCCTGAGGAAACCAGACAAACGTAGTATTAGGTCCTGGACTGAAGCCTGGACCTGGAGGATTTAGACCAGACTGAAGCCCTGACCACTCATCACCTAGAAGACTTGGTAACCAATTATTAACTTTAACTATCTAAACTGATCTCAACTGCAAAACTCTAACATGTCTCATCTCATCTGAACCAGTTCCTCCTCCTCCTCTTCCTCTTCCTCCTCCTCTGTCATAAACCCACGTCACCTCCTTCTACTAACCTCAGAAACGACGACCAGCTTCCCAGTTTCTGCGTCCACAGCTTGGACCAGTCCAGTCACGGTGACATTGCCGACGGCCGCCCCGCTGACGAGGCCCATGCCACTGAGGGAGGCTATGTTTTCATCAGAAATGGAGAAGAGGATGTTGGACTGGGGCTGAGGTCCACCTTCAGATGTCACCTAAAAAAAACAAAAGGACATTTGAAGTATTATTTGTTTTGTTTTTTTCTCAGACAAATTAAACCCTTTTTTTTCCCACTCACCTGCATCATTGCTCCAATTAAAAGTGTCATTTTCCTGGGGATAAGTTTGAACGGTGGAAACACCTACACAGATACAGTAGAAAAGAACCGTCAGTGCAGTGTTCTGCTGAGAAACAATAAAATAATAAAGTCATAAACAGCGTCAATACCTCGATGGGCTGAGGTGAAGATGAGATTTTTCTTCCGTTTCTGTCTAAAACGACAGCAGACAGAGAGGTCTGACCAATCAGAACTCCTTTGACCAGGAACACCACTGTGTCGTTCTCGGCCGACTCTGACAACGGGCTGCAGGGAGAACATTTAGGTGATGAGTTAAAAACGTCTTAAAGTGAAGACGGAGCTGAAAGATCTCAGAGTTCCTTCTTTAGTTTTACAGTAAAGTGACGATCGCAGAGGCCGCCTTCAGCTTCAGGTTCATGAATCTGAAGTAGGCGGTGGGGAAGGGCTTCCTGTTATCATCCAGGACTCTGACATAAGCTCTGACTGATTTGCCGATCTCCACCTGTAACAACATGAATGATGTCAGTCGCCGGGCAGACGAGGAAGAACAGGAAATCATGGGTGAAAACTGAAGGGAAGTGTGTCAGAGCAGCACAGCGATATCCCAGCTGAACCAGAACCAGAACCAGAACCAGGAGCTGCAGGAATGAGGGATTAGCTGGATGAACACTGACCTTGTCCACCACCCGCACATAAACCTCCAGGATGTCGGAGACACGCACGGTGGCTCTGGCTGGTGCTGGGAAAGCCAGACAGAGGTCGTGAACTACGACCTTCACCAACCCTGGGAGAACGGGCGACACCTGGGAAAAAAAGGATGAAAAAAAAAAGAACATATTTATACATTTATGCACTTGACCTTTGCCCTTTGAGCTAAATTCTTTATTTAAATTTTGTACCAGTTCATGTTTTTACATACGGCTACTTGTGTGATGTTGTTTTCTTTGTTTGGAGCCACTGATAAAGTCAAAACTATATGTTGGTTAAACTTGGACTTTTTAACCTACAAATACAAACTAAGTTCTTGGTTGAAGTCGATTTAGTTTTGGAAATAGTGACGCAGCCGTTGTCATTTAATCAAGATGACACTACATGACATCATGACATCATGACAGACTGTCTATCGTCGTCCGTCCCTTTTTTTTCCCACTCACCTGCATCATTGCTCCAATTAAAAGTGTCATTTTCCTGGGGATAAGTTTGAACGGTGGAAACACCTACACAGATACAGTAGAAAAGAACCGTCAGTGCAGTGTTCTGCTGAGAAACAATAAAATAATAAAGTCATAAACAGCATCAATACCTCGATGGGCTGAGGTGAAGATGAGATTTTTCTTCCGTTTCTGTCTAAAACGACAGCAGACAAAGAGGTCTGACCAATCAGAACTCCTTTGACCAGGAACACCACTGTGTCGTTCTCGGCCGACTCTGACAACGGGCTGCAGGGAGAACATTTAGGTGATGAGTTAAAAACGTCTTAAAGTGAAGACGGAGCTGAAAGATCTCAGAGTTCCTTCTTTAGTTTTACAGTAAAGTGACGATCGCAGAGGCCGCCTTCAGCTTCAGGTTCATGAATCTGAAGTAGGCGGTGGGGAAGGGCTTCCTGTTATCATCCAGGACTCTGACATAAGCTCTGACTGATTTGCCGATCTCCACCTGTAACAACATGAATGATGTCAGTCGCCGGGCAGACGAGGAAGAACAGGAAATCATCGGTGAAAACTGAAGGGAAGTGTGTCAGAGCAGCACAGCGATAACTCAGCTGAACCAGAACCAGAACCAGAACCAGGAGCTGCAGGAATGAGGGATTAGCTGGATGAACACTGACCTTGTCCACCACCCGCACATAAACCTCCAGGATGTCGGAGACACGCACGGTGGCTCTGGCTGGTGCTGGGAAAGCCAGACAGAGGTCGTGAACTACGACCTTCACCAACCCTGGGAGAACGGGCGACACCTGGGAAAAAAAGGATGAAAAAAAAAAGAACATATTTATACATTTATGCACTTGACCTTTGCCCTTTGAGCTAAATTCTTTAATTTAATTTTGTACCAGTTCATGTTTTTACGTACAGCTACTTGTGTGATGTTGTTTTCTTTGTTTGGAGCCACTGATAACGTCAAAACTATATGTTGGTTAAACTTGGACTTTTTAACCTACAAATACAAACTAAGTTCTTGGTTGAAGTCGATTTAGTTTTGGAAATAGTGACGCAGCCGTTGTCATTTAATCAAGATGACACTACATGACATCATGACATCATGACAGACTGTCTATCGTCGTCCGTTTATCCAGGGCGGGGTCAGGGGGGGGGGCAGCAGTCAGAGCGGGGACACCCAGACTTCCCTCTGTCTCAGCTCGCTCTTTTTATTTTACACTTTCCGTACGTCGATGAGGGAAAAGCCGGCCACACGGCCAACAGCAACATTACCAAAATGAAGCCGACTTCAGCAGAAATAGCTGATGAGTTTAGCACTTAAACCTTATGAGGTGTTAAATTTATGGACCATAATAACCTCAGATGTTGTTTATGGATGGACTGAGTGAGTGGCCAGCAGGTGGAGACACGTCAGGGTGTGTATTATTTAGGCTACAGTTACAGTAACAGGTCGACTGTTACTGTGGGTCTGAAGGTGTGTTGGGACAATATTGACATAGGAGCAAAAAGTTAATATCAAACTTCCTTAGTTAGGAATTATATTTATTCCCTTTTTCACAGAAGTACTACCTCACTTTCAGATCAGTACTACAATCATCATGTACTTCACTGAGGTCACTCCTCTACACCTCCTGCCCCAGATGTGTTTTTTGTTTGTTTTGTTTTTACCTGAACGGCTCCCTGGGCCTCCTGGAAGACCACGTCCACAATCCCTTTAACGCTGGTGTTGACGAAGAAATGTCCGGAACCTTCTCTCAGCGCCAGATTCACCTGGAACACAGAGCAGAGCCGAGGCTCGGTGAGAGTGACTGGAACTGTTGAACATGTGGTACCAGGAGAACCACCTGTGTGTGTGTGTGTGACCTTTGCCAACGTGACCCAGAAAAATCCTCTTATACAGGTCAGTGGCTGCAGTTTGACCCCGGCAGCTGCTCAACACCGGCCTTTTATTCCACTGGATTACCACCGGAGGCTTCAGTGAGCAGAGCTGCCGCAGCGTCTACTGTTATTATTCTGAACCGTTGAATCACTCAGCCGAGAGCAGAACGCCCTCCGCCCACCAGTTTGTCCTGCAGCGGAGTGGAAGTCCGTCCTACCTGTGTGATGACCAAATGTTCCTTTAAAAAAAAGTTCCATCGGTTCTATGTGAACCACTTCTTACCAGCACATCTGGGTGGTTGTATATGGTCAGTTCTTGGGGGAAGACTTTGACGTATTCAACCAGCAGGAGGTCCAGAGAGGCGGAGACGGGGGTCAGGGGCTCGTACTGTACAGGACAGAGAACAGTTCCAGCAGGATTAGTACCAGGACTCCATGTAAATGTGTGACAGATAAGACTGTAATCACTGTTGTCTGCTGTTTGTCTGCGTCTGACATGAATGAAGTACAACCTGTATAACCTGAGTATAATTTACAAGTGGTTTTTGGCCTCGTCCCTGGATGCTGTCGCCTCCTAGTGGCTGGGAAGAAGCACTCATATAAACAGGCTCAGCAGTCTGAGGCCTGGCTACATGGTTCCACCAGTGGTCCGCAACCCACGTGTTGTTTTTCCCCATACTGTCTGCAGCTGAATGTTGTGGAGGATGTTTTTCTTATTCTTTACATTTGATTTAAACACATTAGTCATGCAGTACTGTGGAGTATAAACTGGGTACTGTTGGAGTGACACCAGAATAAATCTCGTCCAGTGAATGGTTCCAGGTAACTGGGTACTTTTTCACAGAGCGCGTGGCTCCTCTGTGGCCCCGCAGAGGCAACAACCACAGTTTGAGAAACGTTCCTCCAGTTTTTAATCTGTAGGTGAAAAAATCCAATTCTTCAACTTACTGGAGTGGAAACTCTAGCTGCTGCAAGGTGTGAGACTTTGTAACCCACAGCTGAGACTGTGACGGCAGCCAGGCCCGTCTGGTGATGGACCAGAACCATCTGACGTCCTGCCAGAGCAGAGAGAAGAAAAAAAACAAAACAAAATTACTTTATTTTATTTCCCCCTCACTGGAACATTAGTGAATCACAGACTGTGTTCCAGAATCACCGTGTTGTTTCATCTGATCGTTCCCATCCTTGACCATCTGAAGCTCCATGGGCATGTGAGGCTCAATACTGGCCAGTGGCACCTTGGTGGACTCCCAGAGCATACTCAGAGAGCTGAAGTTGTCAAACTTCCTCCCTTGTTGGTCAAAAGCAGCCAAGTCCAAAACTGGGTTGTGGTAGTTTGACACCGGGACCTGGAAAAAGTTAAACTCAGGTTAAACTGGTTAAACTCAGATCCTGTGATGTCATCAACACGTGTGACGTCATCGTCTTCTAACTCCCACTCAGAGACACTCACCACCTGTTTGTTCTGCTGCAGCAGTGGACAGGTCAGGTCCAGCTGCTGGACGGTGTAGACCGGTACCAGGGTGAGACGGGACGGAGGAGCACAGACAAACTGGATCTTCGTCAGCTCCACGGCAGGGTAAGGGTTGGTGACACTGGGTTTGTTTCCCACCCGGACCTCCAGCACCTGAAACATGACGTCACAAAAAAAAAAAAAAAAAGGTGAAAACCACAGAACTAAATAAGAATTAATTAAAGGCAGGAATGGATTAAAAAAAGAAGAAAAGTCGACCTGTTCCCCCAGGGACCTGCAGGTGGCTCTGAGCCAGTGCTGGTCGTACTTGTGAGACGAGGGATTGGTCAGAGCCAGGCTGACGCCGGCCTTATCTTCAGCAGCCATGTCACAGAAGAACTTTGAGGGTTCCAACACCCAGGGGCGCGGGCCGCCCTCAAACAACATGTCTTTGGAGGAGCCCAGAGAGACCACCGCTACAGACACGGGGTCAACCGCCTGAAACAGAACAGACACGGGAACGACTGTTGTTCAGACTCATTTCACTTTGTCTTCATTCAAACATGGAAATAGTTCTTCACACTTTTCATGTTCTTTTTCTTTTCTTTCTTCTCTAGTGGTTCCTGCTGTAGATCCCTCTGTTCCAGAGTTAGGAACTGATGTTCAGATGGAACAGAGTCTCTATAGACTGTTCTATTGGTGTAAAAGCTCTGCTCACTTTCTGTTCCGCTCTGTTCACAGTGTAGAACGGTTCATATTTATTGTGTCGATGGTTTCAGTTTGAAGACGTTTTTTGAAACTGAAATATTTGTTCACTTGAATTAAAATATCGTTCTGTTACTGAGGAGGAAATAAAACTGTAAGTTCATTCCTATTTGGTGTCTTTTTTATACAAATATAAGTTATTAATACATCAGTGGAAGCCTTTTTTAAACAGAAGAAAGATTATCTATAATCTGGATAGAATTTAAAGAGAATTAAACAAAACAAACTGTGTTGAGCTGCAGGAACAAAACTGGTTCAACATTTTCTCACTGGAGTAAAAAAAAAAAGAAAAACAACTCAGACATGTCTGCAGTACTCAACAGTACTCAACAGTACACATTACCACATTACACACACACACGAGTACAACACAGAGACTGAAGACGACTTCAAACAGCATGTGAGTGCAGTGATGACATGAACAGAACAAACAGGAAACTCACACTGTGTCTGTGAAGTCAACAACATCTTTACACTGTAACATCAACACACACACACACACACACACACACACACACACCGTTCAATCCACAAACTACAGCAGGAGCTGAAGTCAATTAAAATCATTTGCAGACGTAGAGAACAGGGCAGTGCAGCGAGTGTGTGATGCATAATTAACGTGAACCAGCGAAGAGAAACCCAGGAGGAAGAGACTGTAACGCTCGCTCATCATCACACACACACACTCCTGCCCTGAGCGCGCACGTGTGTGTGTGTGAACAGAGGAGCTAACTCCTTTTTTTAGATGACTTTAAAGATGAAAAGTAAATCATAACAAAGACTCGAGGCTCAGTCGGAGATTCTGCTGCAGCTCCGTTTCAAACATAATTATGGGAAGAAAAAAAAACAACAATGATGGAAATTTCTGTGTTGGTGAAAAGGAACATTTGGACTCACTTTCAGAGGCAGATATGCAGCGATGGTGATCTTGGCGCTGAGGTGAACGTCGCCGTGACTGTAACTGACTGAGAGCACGGTGAAACCTGGAGCCAGAGCTTTGGCCCTGATCCCACTGCAGTGGTGCTGTCCTGGAGCCAGGCGACCTGCGGTGGACACAAGGTCAAAGAACGATCAGGACGCACAGACAAGATCAACCGTGTGACAATGTGATGATGATGTCAGAAAGATTTGTTTTTGTTCTTTAAGAAACAGCGTTTGGTTGATTTTTTTTTTCTCAGGTGAGAATAAAAAAAAAAAAAAATTTTTTTTTTGTTTTTTTTTTTCATTTTCCCCTGGGAAAAAAAAAAATAAACCAAAAGCTGTTTTTTTAAAAACAAAAAAAAAATTTTTTTTTTTTTTTAAAAAACGGGTTTTTTGTTTTTTTTTTTTTTAAGAAAAAGGGTTTGGTTGATTTTTTTTTTCTCAGGTGAGAATAAAAAAAAAAAAAAAATTTTTTTTTTTTTTTAAGGTGAAAAGGAAAAAAAAAAAACAAAAAACCCGTTTTTTAAAAAAAAAAAAAAAATTTTTTTTTTTTTTTAAAAAACAGCGTTTGGTTGTTTTTTTTTTTTTTAAAAAACAGCGTTTGGTTGTTTTTTTTTTTTTGTTTTTTTTTTTTTTTTAAAAAACGGGTTTTTTGTTTTTTTTTTTTTTAAAAAACAGCGTTTGGTTGTTTTTTTTTTTTTAAAAAACAGCGTTTGGTTGTTTTTTTTTTTTTTAAGGTGAAAAGGAAAAAAAAAAAACAAAAAAAAAAAAAACGCCGACTTCTGACGTCTCTGCCTGGATCTGGTTTTTAATGAACTTAATGTTAAAATCTGTCCCTAATTTATATTCATGTCACGTCTACACGCAGCCACACTTTCTTACTAAGTTCTTGTTCTATTTAATTACAAAACATAATTTTTACAGTAAAATGTTGCCCAAATATTATGGTAATTTGTGTTTGTCAGCATTACCTGTTAAGTGTGATATCACATCCTTGGCCTGTAGGTGGCGCTAACTATTAGATCGTTTGTTTTACTTTTTTAAGGATTAATACACCGTGTGTGGTGTCAAACGTTTACAGCCAAAAACGTTCATTATTTTCACTGATTTCCTTAAAGATGTTAATGACGGTGTTTGGTTTGGACTCAAACCTTTTCCATTACTGAACACTCAACACTCTGAGCTGTGATTGGTTGACATTTTGAAGTGAGTGTCCTCAGGCTTTGTTCATCACTGGATAATTAAACCCACCATCCAACAGCTGGAAGACACCGGGCGTTTCCTCCTCCACCTGCAGGTCATAGTGGGAACAGTCGGTCAACATGACCCTGTCGTGTCCTGGCTCCTCCAGCCGACCGAAGAACCTGAGCGGCAGGTCCAGCACCAGACCCACGGTCACCTCCACTCTGCAGGGAGCAAAGTCCATGGACTCAGGCTCCACCACAAACACCTGAGGACAAGGACGGGGGGGACAACTTAAAAATCCAACCACTTTTGACCACAGTGTTGTGGTTGAGGTGGTGCAGCCGTGAACACGACGTCAACATGAGTTCATCGGTCGTTCCTCCCTCCAGGTGCAGCTCACCTTCATTTGGCCGAAGTGTAACGGGTTGCGTAGATCGTGGGCATAAATCACGCTGACGCCGATGTCACTGACTGTTGACATGGCTCCTTTCACCGTCACCGTGGCAACAGCTGTGTTGGAGGAAGACCAACTGAAATTCCCGCTGCCCCCCGTCGCCTGTCAGGACCAAGAGTAGAACTGATTATCACGTGCACCAGACTGGTACTTCGTTACATCTGCTGCTGATGTAAGAATGACATTTGAAATGTAAAAATTAAAGGACCTTTATCATGTACTGATAGGCTCCGATCTTGGGCTGCCATGGAAACCTCAGGATGCTGGGACTGAGAACGATGGGATTATAGATTTCCACATCCTGTTCGTTGCGGACTGCGTTGGTGAGTTGGTGAACGTTCCCACTCTGAAACAGAGAAGACGCCACAGGGGCCGATGAAGAGCCGGGCACATCTTCACCACGACATGAGTTTAACGCAGCAGTGATGATCTGGTGTCGACCAGAGCAGCTTTCAGGTTCAGTTTCAGGTTCAGTTTCAGTTTCACTCACTTTGTCGACCACATGGTTCAGAGTAGCATCGATGAGGGTGAGGCCGTCTTTGATCGCCCTCACGCGATGGTACGATCCATTCAGAGAAGAGTGCAGGGGTTCAAAGAACTCAGGGGGAAAACCAGCGTCGATACGGATGTTCTGTCAGAATTAAGAACACTCAGATGAAAAACCTCTCTCTCTCTTTGACGAGAGGGATTTACAGCTTAAGAAAAAAAAATCTTTGGCATTTTAAAATGTTAATCCTCATTGTAAGAGCAAATCTGTGTAAAATGAAAGTGACTTTAATACATATATATATATATATGTATATATATATATGTATATATATATATGTATATATATATATGTATATATATATATGTATATATATATATATATATATATATATACACTTTTTTTTTTTTGTCATTGTGACAAATTGTCCCTTAAGGACTTTCCAGACCTCATTTTTGCATGCACTAAAGACTAAACCAGTGTCAAACTGGTTTATCCTCAGTGATGTAACTAAGTACCATTTTAAAGCAAACCAAACATTTGCATGTGAGGAACTCTAAACCGACAAACCTCTTCGACAGGTTAGGCCACACCCACGTGGGCTGGTTAACCACAGATGTCAAATATTTGATGTTTATCAAAAACCTTGGCAACAAAGACTACAGTCTCACAGGCTCCAGACTGAAACACATTTCTACCCTGTATACTGTACATTACTGAAGCAGTACTGCACGTCTCCTCCATGTGGCGCACTTACATCCGAGAGGTAGATTTTGTTGCCAGATTTGTCAAAGACTTCGATGGAGATCTCGTAGACTCTGCCTGTTTCCAGGACCCAACTGTCTCCAGGACGGATTTTAAAACCTAAGACAAAGAGGTTTAGTTTCAAGACTCAGTTGTACTTGTACTTAAACTACAGATACTGTATCAGTAGTATTAGTAAACAAACCTAAGTATCCTGGTTCGACCACGTACAGGGTGCTGTTGGGTAGACGGGAAACTCCCTGCATTCGAAGGCCTGGAGAGATTCAACTAAGGACAGAATGTCATTTATAATCTGGGTTTATAATTTATTAATGACTGTAGAATATCCTTGGACTCTAACGTTAATCCACTGATTCATCTGAAAACCAAACGTCAGCAGTTTGATGATGATTAGACTAGATTAGAAAATCTGGCCTGTGGTAGATACTGACCAATCACAGAACAGATCAGAGATCTATTGGCTGCAGACCTGGGGGTAAATACCTGTCAATACCTGATACTTTATCAAACGGTTTTATCGTATTTTTATTGTGGGTTTTACACCTAGAGTTGTCTGTGATTGGTGGTTTCAGGGTCCGTCATCAACACACTGCATGTTTATTCCAGCACCAGGAGCTGTCCACTGACTCCTGAACACAAACAGAGCACACGCTGCCGCCTGATTGGTGCTTCAATCATCATCAAACTCTTCTTTTTCTGATTCTCTGTTTTGACAGGTAACGATGTGACCGGTCCAAAGGATACTCTTGTGGTCCAGCACCACGTTGATGTGTCCCAGCTGGGCTGCTGTTACTGTGGAGATGCTCTGGTCCAGACTGGCCACAGCCACATCTGGGTTTCCGTTCGGGCCGACCACACTGTTCTGCAGGTGCAGCTCGTACTGATCACACGGCATGGCCAGCTCTGTTTACAAAAAAAATAAAAATAAAAATAAATGAAACCACATGGACCTGAGAAAACTCATGTAACTCAAAATCATTTTTTAAACATTTAATACTTCCTACATTTCTTTTTCGTATTTTTTTTTAAAGTGTTTATTTACACAAACAGGAAGTGGCCATGAGTCTAGACTGGAGTGAGAGTCAGACCTGTGATCTTTCCCTGTTTTATCTTCAGGACTTTGTATCGAATGGATGTTCCGGCCAACAAGTAGACGTCATGTGCAGGACTCAGCAGGATGTTCTCCAAGATCAGCAGCCTCACCTCGGCAGCGCCCACATCCTGTGAAACAGACAGAAACATGGTTAGCACAGCAGCACAGCCTCACCCCCCCCCTCCCCCCAGTCTGAACAAATCACATTCAACAGCAGTGTAACAGTAGAATCAATGGTACCATTACTCTGAGGGGGGGGCGGGGGGCTCCTGAGACCACCCAGGGTGGAGGGTCATATTTGGTTGTGTGTGTGTGTCTACAGCGAACATCACAGTAAATAAAGAGGAAAAGTGGAAATGAAACCTGGTGTGTACTTTCACTTTACATGAAGTGAAAATAACCAAGAGTTATAACACACACACACACACATACTGTATGTATATATAAATACACATATACATATACAAATGCATATATACATATATATTTAAATAAACAATATATATGACTGTGTACTTGACCTGTTTTTTTTTGCGGTACAACCATCGTTTTACAGGAAATTAAAAAACAGAACTTCTTATTTTGCCCATTTAAATTAATAATTTAAAATCCAGAGGTTTATTTAACATCAACTTATTTTATTTTTAGAATTTTTTTTTATCTGTTGCGTGTGTGTGTGTGTGCGTCCACCTTACCTTATATAAGGACTCTTGTATTTTGGCCTTTAACTTTGCGTGTCCAGTCTTCAGTCCTGACACCAGAATGATGTCTCCCTGTTTCCCAACACGCTCCATCTCAGATATGTAGCCCGGGGGGGTGTACGTGGACTCGGAGAATTTAAGTACCCTTATAAAAAAAAGAAAAAAAGAAATTAAAAACGTGGCCATCTTTAAACATCAGTCATGATGAACGCAGAAAAAAAAAAAACATTTTTGTTCAGACTTGAAGTCTGATCAGAGAGAATCTTACTGTAATGAGTTGTACGAGTCAGAGATTCCGTTCACATCGACATCCTTCACTAAGGTCCAGTCAAACACCAGACCAGCCAGGGTGCTGAAGGTGTTTCCTGTCACATCACATAAAACACATCAGCAATGATTTAATCTGAGAAAAACAGTGAGGCCTGAAGAGACGTTTATTAATATTTAGATGAATATTTTCACTGAAACAAATGATGACAATGAGATTTAGAACGTCCTGGAGGTTGACTTTCATTAAAAAAAAAACCATGGGGATTTTAATACAGGATAATAGTTTATACTGCCTCTGGTATAATAATTTTTCAAACAAAAAAAAAAATTGAAAAAGCATCATTAAAGGCAAAGAAAACAAAAACAAACAAATCAGACCTTGGAGCCAACTCTACAAAATCAGGCTCCAGAAATGGTTCAACAAACTGAGTGTGTGTGTGTGTGTGTGTGTGTGCTGTGGACCAGAACAAAAAGCCACTGTACAAGTCAGACAGAGTGGAATAAACGCAGCCAAGAGTCGGCTCAGTCGATAATGTGAGAAGTTTTTAACAAATAAACCAAACAGTATTGACTCACAGCAGAACAAACACGTTCTGCTGGTACTAACAGTACTACAGTATTCACTCATCACTAAGGTAGTAGTACTCATTACCTTCAGAGTCCAGTGCATAAATCCTGAGCTCCAGCGGCGAGTCCTCAAGATGCAGCTCTCTGGTCGTCGACACAATTTGGATTTCACGGATGATGTCGACGATAGCGTCACAGCGCAGTACCTGTCCAGTAACTGGACAAAGAAAAAAAAAGTCAGCTTTAGTTAAAAACATCATGATCGTCCTCTGATACATGTCTGTGGCAGCCGAGGGTATTAAACCCTGTTGAAGCTCAGCTTCACTGAGGGTCAACGGATCAACGAAGAGAAAAATGTAGCAGAGCATTTTTAGTACTTTATGTCAAGTTCCTGAGAAGCTCTGGAGACAAAACTGCAGTAAAGTGTGTGAAAAAGACCGTTTCAAACCCCCAACACCAACACTGTTCCAAGACTATTTCAGCAGCAATCTGGCCATCTGCTGGCCATTAGGGAAAAAATGGTTAAATCCCCAGTAGAGATGTCTGACTGTTGTGGTATGACGGGGGCGGGGGGGAGGTACGGGGGGGCGGAGTGTGTGTGTGTGTGTGTGTGTGTGTTTCTGCTAAAGAAAAGGAGAGCAGTATTTACATTTCAATTACTGGGTCTAAAATGACTGACATCCGTTTCACAGACCAACCAGTGTCACTGACATCGACCATGTATCCTGCAGCAACATTTCCAGAGTGGAAAAAAAACTCAATATTAACATTACGTTATTTGCAAAAGAAACTGCAAGGACGAAACGTTTGATTTTATTCAAGACGAGACGGAACAGAAATCCACTCAGTGATTAAAGTGCTTTATAAATAAGGAAGTAATGAGAAAATGGGAGGAGATGGAGCTGCTGTCTCCACTATCACTGGTGCATCACCTGCATTCAACGACAGACACACACACACACACACACCCACCACTCAGTGAAGACAAATGACAGCTCACTTAGCGGTCTTTGGTTTGCAATCAGTACAGGCCTTGGTCTGATGCATTATGGGAAGATTATGTTTGAAATTCTTATGAAAGAAAAAAAATCAGCTTTAGTGATATTTTACTTTGTGTAAATAATAAATGACTAACATGTGTTTTTATAAAATATACTATAGTACTACGATCTGTATTAGGAGACAGAGAACAGAGTACAATATACTCTATGACAATATTTTACAGAAATGAAGCCCTAAATACATATATAATGTATTTATATGTATATATATTTATATATACATATATAGATGTGTATACAGTATATACACACATATGTATATACTGTATATATATTTGTATATATGTATACAAATGTATATATAAACACACACATACATATGTGCTGTATATATACTGTAGCTACACACAAACGTAAAAAAACATATTACACAGGTTAACAAAAGTTCAATATATGTTCACATATATTGTTTATGTCTAAATATTGAGCTCATTAATTAATCATTTTTCTCTCAGAAATGTTTAACGAATGCTTGCTCCAGTATATTTACCAACATCTTCAGCCAGTATAATGCTGGTCAGTCTGGAGTGCTGGGTGGACAGAGCCTGGAGAACTGCCCTCCTGGAGCAGCCTCTGCCCGCCTCCTCATCCACAGCCTGGACACTTGCTACCTCCGGCCTGTTGGAGGACCTGGGGAGGAAAAAAAAAAGATGTTTGAAGACGTTAAGAAATTAATTTAAAACCATGCAGTAGTAAACATTAGTATTTTGGGTTCAAACTGAATTTAGTCAGAATTATACCTTTGGTTGAAAATAAGCAGAGAACTGGAATTTATATTCTATTGTTGCTTTAATAACAGACACAATGTATAACCAGTGTATGGTTATAATTCTGTTTGTCAGTTATTGTCAGTTACTGTTTATATAACCAAACATTGGTTCATTTATTTATTTTTTTGTCAGTTATTACTGACAGACACTTGACTCTGACTGTGTTTCTGTTCTCAGGTTTTCTGACGTACTGACCAAGTACTGCACAAAGTACTGCAGTAATACTACAGATACTGTACAATAAGGTCATTTGTGAAAAAACAGTTACAGTCCAGTCTTCGTGGTGACGAAGTCCTGAATGAACTCCAGTGAAACACTGTAAATGAAAGTGACTGAACAGAAGGTCCAGTGAATAAACCGGTCCAGTGATGACAGGGCGGCGGGACACGGTGATCGTCTGACTACAGTCTACAGAGGGGACTCTCCGGGTAATGAGACATGTGGACACATGCGGCTTCCAGCGCCGTGTAACCTGACACTCCCTCACACAGCCTGCCTGCCTTCAGTCAGAGTCTCCTCACTCACCATCTGTAGCAGCCCTCAGTGGTTTCCAGTGTAAAGTTGATCCTCGTACTTCTGGCCAAAGGCAGCAGCACTTTAGGGATATTGAGTTTAGAAGAACAGTCAACTCCGGCTAAAAATAAAGCAGTCAATATTAGGAGGGAAGTCATTTCCGCTTCTCGTCGCCGACAAATGTCTACTGCGAGCGTTAAGACAGAAGTTCAATGAATGAAGCGTTGACTTTCGGTGCTATCTCGACGTTTCCGGTGTGTTTATCATAGTTAGCTGCCCGTCCCGGAGTTGTACAGTAGCCATCCAGGTGAACTAGCACCGTCCACACGCCGTCCTTCTGCCCGGCCACATGACGGACCACCCGGTTTATAGTGTCCTTCTTCAGCTCAGCTTCGTGTCCGTCGGGACGTTGGAGAAACTCGAAGGCGGGAATTAGCTCTAACGCTCAAGTATTAAGTGTTACTATCCACAGTTAGCACAGTGACAGGATAGCATACGAATGTTTTGGAGAAATACCCGCCATGAGCAGCAATTGGACTACCAAACGTGCCTGTGACGTCACCGACGAGGTTACTACGAGCAGTGACGCTATTTCTTAAAGGTACAGTTCACAGTCAAGTGTTCTCCACCGACCACCTGAGTCAGGGGGGTTGGTACCGGTACAAAACTACAGTAAAAACATAGTAAATTCAATAATAATAATATGTTATTATTAATAATATTACTTAAGTAATTAATGTTTTAACATTTCAACTAAAACAAAGGCTTAACTGCATGTCTGTTTTCTAATATAATTTTGTGATTTTCATTCCCACTTCATTTGACTTCAGGTGACACGATAAAAATTTTAAGTTAACACATTTTTAAAAAAGTTAGACTTCTGTTACTGACTTCACTGCTGCACATCTAAATAACAAAGAAAATGTAAACAACTGAGCATTAACCAAGAGGTGTTTTTTTTTTTTATCAGCTGAGGTGTTTAACACATATGAAAATAGTTAGTTTAACTTTATTGATTGATGGAAATTCTTGTGTGGGGTCTGCTGCAACAGGCTGCCTCTTGGAGGCACCAATTATGGGGTCCCTCTGGGAATCGAACCTAGGACTCTGCTGGCAAGGCAGGCGTGCTAACTGCTAGACTATGTTCCTTCTTGGTGAGACCTAAAAATAACTTCTGCTAACAATTTTCTAGAACCTCTCACCCCCTCCATCCCTGAGTTGAAACAGTGTTTGTTGACATGCTCTCGATGACTGGGTCACTCAGCAGAAATGGCGTCAGTTTCCTTTAAGCCCCACAGTGTTCAAAAACAAGTGTGTTCCTGAAGGCTGAGCCGTGGAAACATGTTTAGAGTTTTCCTTCAGGAGGAAATCTCCGACTTCGTCCTGGCAGAATCTCAAATCTAATTTTCTTCTCGTCTGGTTGTGAGTGAGGTCTTTTTTTTTTTTAAGATTTGGGTTCTGAGACAAAGCCTGCCTTGTGACCAGAATGTTTATTGTGCATTTATTCTGAAACCAACCGACTGCGTTGCTCTTCATCCTTCCTCTCATCTGCTCTTACCTTAGGATTTCAACCTCCTGGACGGTGCCTGGAACTTTCCTCGACTCAGACAGACCCAGATTGATCAGATGTTGTTGGGAAGTGTTTTACATTCAACACTGGGGCCATGATATGATATAATGCGATATACTGTGATACTACAGGCATGATGATATATTGATATTGATATTTTTTCACCAATTTATCTGTAGTCAAAGTGTCATCACAGTAGAGAATATCAAAATAAAAAATATTACAATATTTGAATAGTGTGTTTACAGAAGTAAATACTTGTAGCGTTACTTTTTGTGTGTTAAATAATGATAAATATTCTCTTCTAATTCTATTAAAGTTAACGTGTAACACAAACGACAGTGAAGTATTGGAGAATATAAATACACAAAGTAGTAGTGCTTTAAAAATTTAAAGAACAGTAAACCTGCTGCGACACATATATACTGTATAATAATACTCTGTATACATTCACAGGAACAACGCAGTACACGGTCCCTTACTTTGGCTCCACCAGTGGAAACAACATACATAGGTGGCATCAACACACATGTTTCACATCAATTATTATTTTCCGTGGCGTGTTTCTCCATCTGGTCCACATCAGCGCTCACGTCGTTCTCTGGAAGGTTCACGGCCGCGGCACTCACTGAACTGCTGACTCAGTAGCAGTGTTCTCAGCTGGTAGTTGGACTCTCATCAGCAGAGTAATGGGCTTTAGAAGGGTCACTGCTTCAGATGAGCCTGGCAGGTACCCCCCCCACCACCCCCCACCCCCCCTCCCGCTGCTGCTCCTGCTGCTGCTGCTGCTGCAACTCTGGGGTGAAGCCAACAGAGATTCTAGCCTGTAGCAAAATTGACCTCCCCAACACACACACACACACACACACACACACACACACACACACACTGGGAGTCAAAGATTTCTGCCCTGGCTACAGTTACA